TGATTGCTACAGTATGTTATTGTATCTGAACTATTAAAAGGCATGTTATTAATTATAAATATAAAAAGCAATTACGGAGGATTGCTTAGAATGATTTATAAGCCAACACCTGAAGCTAAGATCAAAGAGACTCCCTGCACAAAAGTCCTAAACACCAGAGTGTTAGCCTTCATTTGTACCAACCAAAAAGCTTACCTGAAATTGTGGCAAAATATATTCAGAGGGAGGAAAATAGCAAACACAGAGCAACATGAGACCATCATCACTCAGGATATGAGAGGAGGATGCAGTCTAAGAACCAGACCTTTTAGCAAGGTAGAACTTGTTGGTTTTACTTCTCAGGTTCATCTGAGATCTACTTTCCCCTCTTTACAACACATACAAAAAAACTCTTTCAGAATTCCTAGAACTTAATTTTCAACTGAAAATTAAGACAGTCTGACAGCTCTGGTTTTAAACATGAAACCAAAACCAGCAGAAGTGTTCCTGTGTTGCAAAATGATCTCTCTTCTCAACTGCAATGACTAAGATCCAATATGCTGCAATTGTTATTTTATTTTCCTCCTAACTGACTAAAGGTACCACAACTTAGGGTTTTCTTCCCTTTTTGCGCAGGGACTGGCCTTCTCCTGAAAAGGCAATAAACCGGCTTCCAGATTCATCCTGGAAAAAGACAAAAAATGCTGTTACCTCTTTGCTCACTGCTTGTGTGTGATGAAAGCTGAGCCATCATTAGAAAGAACATTCCATGAGAACACCAACTGACTGTAGACATTTCACACCCTTAATCTACATAATAACCACTTTCTTCCTGAAAATAAAATACAAGCATTTCAGTGACCTTTCAGCCAACTAAAACAAGTATGCACTGGCTTATTAAACTTCTATCAGGCCAATCTTTTTACATCAGTAAGCAAGGACATTGGACATTGCTTTCATCTCACTCAAACCACTTTTTAACTACTACCACTTTTTAACTACTACCACTTTTTAACAGAAGTGTGCTGTGAAAAATCAAGTATGGAGAGAGGAACGAAAAACTTGGATAGTAGTTCTAATGTTGTCATTCTGTGCAAAATTGGGAAGGGTAAAACTGTACTTACCTCTTCAACTTTCTTAACTAGTGGACGTGAGTTTCTAATGAATGTGATTCTACCGATCTTGAAGTCATAGTTGGGTATTCCTCTGGAAAAGCAGCATAAAAATATTACGAAAGTAGTTTTATACCCACCATCCAGTTGAACACAGCGAGATCTATTCTGTGTCTGTCAGTATTGCACCAACACTGGCTGCAAATTTTCATCACCAAACAATTCTAGAGTTAAACCACTGAATTATTTTCTGAAGGCAGAAATACATTTCATGAAGTAAATAACCAGATACTGAGCTGCTGTAGATGCTTGGCTGTGGGCAAGTTTCCATATAGCCTGTGCTTTCCACAAGGCCATGGACACACTCTTCCATAAGGGTTCAAGTTTTATTGTGACAGGCGTAAATGACAGAACACGACAGTTACCACGTCCCTGCACGCTTCCACTAAGTCTGAATTTTCTAAATTTCCTTCTAAGAAAATAAAAAACCAAAACACAACAAACCCACACATGGCTTGGCTTTGGTTATCCACTCAACTCAAAAAAGATTTCACTCTACGCCAAATTTCACTTTGGAAAATTGGCAGGGTTCTGTGCGTCACTTAATCCAGCCCACCAGCCCAGTCTAGACCTGCTGCCTCTCCCTGGTCTTCTATAGACCCAGAGCTGATTGAGTGAGTTTTGGCAACATTAACTCAGGATCTGCATCTTAAGTAGTCAGGGACAGTGAGTCTAGAAGATTAGACTATTTTCTAAAAACAAACTTATGATGAAGTTAGCTTTTTTCATATGGCAGGAGCAGAAAAAAAAATAAGTCAATTCAGCTCAAACACTAATCCTTCACTTGCTGACAACTGAATGAAACAGACATACCTTCGAATGTCTCCTGGTTTAATTGGGGATGGACTAGGCTCAACACCTTTCTTCTTGCCATCCAATCTGTTCCCAGAACCAGAGAATGCCTATGTATACATAACGAGTTTTAATTTAACTGTATCTTGTATTTGAAAGCATACTGCACAGTGATAACTATATTCTGTAAAATCTTACTATAATTTTTATTTTGTTATTTGATTCGGCATGTTTCTTTTTGGTACATATAAGCTGACAAACCCTGGGCGTAGGAGTATGTTTTGGTCTCCCATTTATAGACTGCCCTTTTAAGGACAGCAAGTCATACTGTTACCAGCTATAAACACTACAAAACATTTGCAGATACTTGCCAGTTAAATGAGGGGCACCTCTAAAAACAGGTGCTGGCATTTTGCAGTTGTTTGGAACAACTTTCCCTCACCATTCTACAACATTCAGAAACCAGCAGATAATAGAGGACTTACACGAAATCCTATGTCACTCACATATCCACTATGGTCTGCTTCAACATCCTGTAAGGGAAAAAAACAAGTTAGTTCATTGTGTTCATGCCATGATATGCAGAACACAGGGAAACAGTTCCACATATTTCTGATGAAACAAAACTTCAGAACAATCCCTTTCCAAAATCAACAGCTGGTGAACAACTATCTCCCAAGTAACACAAGCAAAAGCATCTGGTAAGTAAAGTTTAGTTTTAAGACATTGTTTCAGGAAGAAAAATTATGTTGGCACTCACTGCTCCATCACAAGCAAGGCTGACTTCTAGGGAATACATTTTTGAAGAACAGAAGCTTAACCTACTGTGGTCTCTTCATGCTGTGCACTTCTTTCTGGTTCTTTGTACCCCAAAGGAGCATCAAAATCCACCTATTTACACAAGAAGCATGAAAATAAGCATTATTGCTATTTTTCTTTTAATCATAAGCCTTATACTACTATTCCTCAAAACTCCAAAAACTATCACTCCATTTTGATCTAGAAAGAACTGAGGTTTGCTTGTTAAACATTTTAACTTGGAACTAAAAAGAGTAAGCCCCAGGAATGAGTTGTAGCATGTAATTGAGACAGAGCAGTAAAACAGCACCCCACAATATCAATGGAGTTTGAATCAAGACAAGGCCGTTAAATAAAACTCACATTATAGAACACGTTGAAGCTAAACATGAAATTCTAGGCACGACAGTCACCTGATAGTACATGAAGTGCAGCTCAAGACCACAGATGTGGTTACAAAGGCACATGGGGTACTCTCAACTGTGCCATCTTCCCTATCCCATCGGATTTTACCTTTCCTGCAGCATCACAGGTGCTTGGTGTACCATGCTATCACTGAACAAGATGCCCTCTCCTCTTGGGAAGACACAGTAAAAGCAGACTTTGCACATGAGCTTTAACTTACATTCATGTCACATTCTATGATGGACACAGCCTTATCCGGTTTGGTCTCCATTACCCGAAGCTCATAGATCTGAAACAGTAATGAATATTTCAAGATTGCACATGAAAGAGCTCAATTTATACATAAGAAAAGCACACCTGAACTTTTCCCTTCAGATAGCTTCAAGAAAATTGAAGTAAGTGCTCTTTAGGTTGAGGACTGGATGCTGCAGGGTCTCTACAGAACATGAGCACAAAGATTTTTTAACCTAGATAGAAGACTGCTATATGCTGCAGCTAGAGAACCTACCTTTGCTGCACTCTTACCATACCTTAATCTGCATTTAGGATAAATTCTGTCCCTTGACTTACAAAAACATCAACTGCACAAAAATTTATTTTCTCATGAGAATCAAAAAACAGTCTAAACAGCAGCTCAGGAGAAGACCTGACTCATTTTTTTTCCTCCAATAGAAAACCAATTACAAAATCTACCATCTGGCATTACTTGCCAACAATACTGCACAGCTCTGCGTTGCTGTGTTGATTGTTTTAGCACTGAGCTTAGTCTACAACCCCAAGTGATCAAATGTGCACATGTGCTGCCAAAAATACTCATCTATAAAATCTATTCACAAGATGTACTCAAAGTATTTACGTGGTCACAATCTACTGAAATATAGTGTATGTTTTCACATGGGGCAGAATTAATTTCCTCAAACTGATGATATCCAAACAAAACTTGCATGGACTGGTGTTGTATACCGTACCTTTTCATTGTAGTTGATGGCAATAACATCCCCAGTAGTTAGGCAAGCAAAGTTTCTCAATGCATTTTCTAATCTTTGGAGTATGTTAAGATGAAACACCTCTTTTCCATGCAACATAGTAACTTTAAAGCTTTGATGTTATGAAAACTCTGATCCTTGGTCTCTCAAACATGGTTTAAAAGTCATCAGTACTGTAGATGGCCTTTTAATAAACATCAGGGTGTACAAGTTCTTCTAAGGGACACTCAAAGTCATTGGACTTCAAGCCAAGATTCATGCTTCTTCACTCCAGGCTACACTTTGTGCCAGCAGCTGGCAACATCTCTGTACATAAGCTCTCCATCCTTTTTGTTTTCAGAAGGAACAGTAGTAGTCACCTACCACTGGAAGAGTATGAGCCACACCTGAAAAGCTAGCTCTGCTTCATCACTCCAATTTGGGAGAAAACTTTAGTCCCCTGCTCCATAATTGAATGGGAAGGATACACAGCTTTGGGATTGGTGATGTCAAGAAAATCTGGACTCTGTGGCTGAAATTTTGAGTAAGTAGCAACTTGAAGATTAACACTCTCCACTTGCACCAGGCCTCCCTCTTCCAGCAGCAAGTTCTGCATCATCTGCAAGAATAAAAACAGATACAAACCACTATCAACATGACTGCTGTTTTTAATTCTCTTTCCTTGTGTATACCTATTTTCGCTGGTGTCACCACCTCCCCTGAAATGCACCAGTTTACAATGGTTTCATTTCAGGAAGAACAGTCAGGTGCATCTTAAAAAGCAGCCTGCTTTGCTCACTTAGTTAAACTCTCATGGAGGGAAACCTGAGCTGTGACTGAAAGCTGTTGTAGGAACATGACTAGCAAGAACACGCACTTTCAGGAAACATTCTGCCTCTTTAATATTAAACTGGCAGCTCACTAACCATACTCTTCAGGTTTTGACAGTTCAGCATAAGACTACCCACCCAGTGTGGAAGGTAACATATGCCCTCATCAGCCACAAATTCAAGCACTCCACAGTGCGTCATTCGGTCTGAATTTTTATTTGTCAGCTTAAACAGCATCGGGTAAGTAATATTAAGTCGGCCTGGTGAGAAATGAGAAAAAAAAAGTTTATTTGTTAAAAGCTACTAACACATTTCTGAAGCTTTCAGAGATTGAACATTAGCAAGAGAATGAGCCAGACTATAGGAGACCCTCACACTATTATTGCAATTGCTCCAAATTACGAATGCAGGAGAGAATGCAGATACACAAATACTGTATTGCCATCACACTTTAGAGCTTTAAATGCCTCTTCAACGTTTCCCCAAGCTCAGAGATGAGCAGGCAGCGGCTATTAGCAGAGGAATCTATTACTGTTATGTTCTTGTGCTATTATCAGTTAGCTACTATCTAAGGAATTTTAACAGGCTCTGCCTATTTTAAAATTAAATCCTGACTAAACTAATTTCTCAAAGAAATTCTCTAAAGCTTAAGGCGGGGTGGAAAACCCTTAGTTAAAAAGATCAATAAAGAACATTTACACTATTGATTCAGTTATCTTTTTCACCATTTCAGAGTTAATTTTCTCTTATTTTGTCTTTAAAATAAATTTTGCTCCAGACAACAGCATCCAGAACAAGCAGGTTGAGATTAAGAATTTAGTAGATTAAGTGTAACCATTATACTGAGTACGCTATTAATAGTTAATAAATACTGATTCATGCTTCAGGTAGCCCAACACTTCAGACATCTGTACTTGAAGACCGACAAGCCCCATTAATTCTGACAGACAAAACACTTCCAAAATACTTTTTTACAACTAATTAGTCTCATATTCTCTATTTAAGTCAGATTTTAATAGATAACTAATATACTGTGGTATTTGCTCAGATTTCTAATGTGGTTATTCCAGAATAAAATGTTCACTTACTGAGTTGATCCAAAGCCGATGGTGGCATAATTACTGCAGAAATGAGTAAGAATGTAAGATTAGGAAAAGTATGACTGTACAATGAGTAGACAACATACAATTTTATCATACCTTACTCTAAAATCTCCTCTAAAAAAAGGAGATTTGAAAATCTCCTGCAAATTCCTTTTTGAGCCAGAGATTTCAGTAGAATCAGTCATGACAAATACACCTGCTAGCATGGAGATTTCACAATTTAAACAGAAAAAAAAAAAAAAAGAGAAAACAAGGTTTTACAATATCTAGTACTAAAGGAAATGTTTCCTACGGGTAATTTTATTTGTTTGGGCTTATAGGTGCTCTTAAATCGATGCTAACTCAAAACATCATAGCATTAGTCTGACAGCCTGAAAATTCAGTTGGTCAATCTATTCTCTTTGTTCAAGCTAAGTGAGGCACAACAAGGAAAGGAAAAAAAGTCCTTAATCATAAATTTCCATGGCTCATAATGGGCCTACGATTTTAATAAGAGGCTTCAGAAAAGAACAACTTCTTCTTCTAATGCTCATAAACCAGGACTCACTCGGCAAGTTTTTTAATTACATACTAATACGATAAAACCCTCCTCCTTCCTTCTTGAAGCCCCACCCAGAGTGCTCTTCTAGCTCCAGCCACAAAGCCAAGAGAATGCCTTCATGCTGTTCAATAATGTTTCTGCAGTCTTAGCCAAAAGTTGTATTACTTGCTATTATTCACAAACACTCTGCCAACAGGTTATTAGGCAAAATAAAACATGCACATACTCTTCCCGCCTTTCTCCACATCTGACCTGTCATTAGGTCCAGCAAGCATGGATACCGAGAAGCAGCGGTACTGGGTTGAGAAGCGGTTCTGGAAAACCCGAGGGATGGGGTGATCAAACATATTGAAAGAGAACTAGGAGGAAAAAAAAAAAACAAAACACAAAGAGAAGAGTGTATGAATAAGACTTCTACAGCTACCGAAGTGCTACAACGCTCACTGAAGTCTCCTGAAGTTTAGCTAAAACTACGTTTAGGAGCCGTACGGTTGACTGCCCTGTCAACTGAGGCGCCCCTCTTTTTTCACACAGCTTACCGCTGCTTGGGGAAGGATTTGTGCGTCAAGCGCTGCGTGGGGAGCCAGAAAATGGAAGCAGCGCACTTCCAGATTACGCCTAAAGTACGGCTTGGCTGACCAACCGACCCCCGGGCACCGGTAGCGCTTCGCGGAGAAGACGCCGACACCCGCCCGCCCCCAGCCTGGCACTCCAAACCAGCGTCGCTACTCGCTGGCTTCGAAAACGGGCTTCGCGAGCGGACACCGGCGGGGGA